GTTCCACTTGCATGCCCCGGAAGGAGCTTTCCAGGGGACGAAAGATGCGATTGATGGGCACAAGCCGAGAACAACTCAGAGTAAGTCAGGCAACAACCATCTGACAGAGTTACTAGGGCAAGGGGCAAAAAGTAATGTACATGTACCATTGTCTCATATGTCACTATCAATGTTATTCAATCGGTATTCAATTTACATGTGATGTTAATGTGGTCAAAGGATTCTGTGGTTCACCGAGTAATTTGAACAAATGACCATGTACCGAGTTCCGGGCAAAGAATACCGAGTTCCGGGTCCAAATACCGAGTTCCGGGTATTGATTACCGAGGTCCAGGCATTGAGGTCCAGGCAGGTACTTGATTCATGAAACTCGGTATTTGTTACCTGGAACTTGGAACTCGGAACTCGGCACTCGATGCCTGGACCTCAATTCCCAGACCTCAATACCCAGAACGCGATATTCGGTGTTGGGTACTCTATGCCTGGAACTTGATACCTGGAACTCTTGATCCGGGCAGAGAATACCGAGTTCCGGGTCCAAATACCGAGTTCCGTGTATCAATTACCGAGGTCCAGGCATTGAGGTCCGGGCAGGTACTTGATTCAGGGAACTTGGTATTTGTTACCCGGAACTCGGAACTCGGCACTCGATGCCCGGACCTCAATACCCAGAACCCGATATTTGGTGTTGGGTACTCTATGCCTGGAAATTGATACCCGGAACTCTTGATAGATTACTTATTCTACATGGCAGTAATGTAATACCTCTGTGTTCCAGTAATTTACATGTGATGTGACTATGTTATCAAAGATTCGGTATTTTACTGAGTTGGTACTTTACATGTGATGGTATCGAAAATTCAGAAGTTTAGTTTTGGTTTCGTTCTTCACACTGACGAATCATGGAATCTACCACCTTGAGCATTTCGATGCTTGCCTGTTCAGCTCTTCTCAGCCTCTGTAGCTCAGCATCAGCCCTCCGGAGCTTGTCAGATGTATCCGCCCAAGCGATTTGAAATGGTCGCTCAGCCTCGATGAGTAGTGGTATGGAAGGGGCCGGAAGACCTCCATTAACTTGTTTGTAGCTGCTGAGTCTATCTTGAAGGGATTGCACTGAAATGAAAATAAGAAAAATGATAGATATAGTAGTATAGCAGATACTCACATCTGGAGTGTTTGAATGACCCTATTGGCTGGAACTCACGAACCATCGCACGCAAATCTTCATTTGTGACCTCCGGATGTGCTGGATCGCATTCGGCTGGTCTCTCATTCGCTTGTGAGATAAATTAAGTTTTGATTGAAAAATGTGTAGAATTTACTTACATGACATTGAAACTTCAGATGCGACCAGAGACTCACACCGTGCATAGACAGAGCCCAGCTCATCATCACAATCAATCAGATCCTCATCAGGCCCAAGGTACAAGTCCAGGTTGATGTACTGAACCGGTTGATCGTATTGAGCCGGAGGTAATTGATTTGTATGAGTTTAGTGAGCATGCATGGTAATATCCAAGTGATAAATGTACCGGGGATTGCAGCCAACACGCCCGGACCACTGGACGACACAGAATCATCTTCTATGTCATCATCCGGCCCAAGGTATAAATCATCTAAGGCATGTAAGATAAAAACATAGATAAGGCATAGTACAAATAGATCTTACCTGTTGATGTCCCAGACTGTGTTGAATCATCTACATCCATTGAATAATACTCGGTCGCTGGAGGATCGTTAAATCTGACTGTTGGATGTGAATTCATCTTGTGAGGGACGGAAGTACCAATAATTGATTGTATACTTGAAGTTCAACTGAAGTCCGGCAATTTCCGAAAGTTGAACCATCGCCAAACAAAGCCAAACAAATCAACAAAGTTTTACATGGCCGTTCAACTGCCTGTTTTCCCTCTGAAACTTCATCAATTTCACATCTGATTCAAAGATTTACACATCTTTCTCATCATTCAACATGTCCACTGCAGCTGAAACCTCTTTTGCCGAACTTAAGGCAATCACTAGGCAGATTGTTGACATTGTCCACGCGGCTTGGCTCCTCCCACCCGGCAACAGCCACTTGGCTCTGAAAGCACAAGTCACTGAACTGGTGGTATGTTGTTTTTCCTTTTTTTCTTTTCGTTTTCTCTAATGACTGGGCAGGCTAAGGCCGTCTGGGACCATGAGGCTTCACCTTGCATTCCAGGCATAGTCTTGTCCTGCTCCAAGGAGTTACTTCGCATTCGGCAGTTGTCCCCCCAGGATTCGCCCAACTGGCACAGCATCGGCCATAATGATCTTCGCCTCCAGAGGCACAGCTGGCGCCACAAGGTCTCCGCATGGGAGGCTTTAGGCGACCAGACATTCGATCTTCCGGTCGATGCCCCCAAATCCCCTGACACTGTCGCGGTCGACCTTCCCTCCCCACCTGCCGGCCCATCGTCCGGCACTATCGACGAGTCCCGGGAGAAGTGTAAGGATAAGGGTAAGGGTAAGGCGTTAGATGCTGACCCGGAGCCTGAGGCAGATGGGAGTAGGAAGAGGAAATCGCCCCTGATTTCGGGACCCTCCTCCCAACTGCCAAAATCCGCAATGAAGAGTCACAAGAGGGCAAAGTCAGCTCGGGTTGTGAAGTCAGCCGAGTTTGTGGAGTCCGAGGATGAACCTGTGGACAAGGTATGTCATTCTGTTTGTTGTTTTCGTTGTCACTCATTATTTTGCAGCCGGCTGCCCAAGGAGGGCCGGTCGTCTTAGTTCATCGTCTCACCTCAGTCTTGCCCTGGATCCCCAAGAAGAGACCTTTTGGCCCTGTGAAGGTATGTCTAATTTATGCCCACATCACTCCTGGTCATCCGTAACATCGTCAGGTAATTGCCGGAAGGTGTGTGGACATCGCCGGGCAGACCGACTCAACGTCCAACACCCCCGTGGTCACCCTGGTGGTGGCACCAACTGTCATCGATGGCCCTGCTGGAAGCCCTCCGGAGGTCGTTGAGCACTCGGACTCAGCATCCAATACCCCCGTGGTCACCCCGGACGTGGCGCCAACTGTCATCGATACAGATGACATTCTCATTCCCAGACCAGTGAGTACTTTGAAAATTTATTGGGCATCCTTCAACTAACTGAACAAACAGAACAACCCATGCTGGGCTTGCAACAATGCAGAGTTGCCCTGCATGACCCGGTTTGACAAGAGGACTGGGAAAGGCCTTCTCTCCTGTGTTTTCTGCAACACAAAGAAGGTAAAGTGTTTTTCCGTCACCCTCGGAAGTCCACCGAAACGGTCGCGGGGTAAGTCGACCACCTGGAAGGCCAGGTCCTGGACACCTTCCAAAGCTCCGTTCACCTCCCAACCAAAGGCCCGGACCTGCAGCCAATCTTGTGGTGTAGCCAGAGCTACTGGCGCCAGTGCTGCTGGAACTGCCAGTGGGTCTGTTGTGACCACGCCTAAGACGCGCGGTCACAGCAAGACAATAACTGCTGTCAAGGCACCCGCCCCACCACCTACACCCTCACCTGCACCAGCTCATAAGTCTTTTGAATTTCTCATCATCATCTTATCTTATTCCTTTGTAGCAATTGTGTCTTCGAGTGCCCGCATGCCTCGTGCGGCTCTCAACGTCCCTATGCCAGACCTCCATTCCATGGCAAGAAGTATTCGCAATAGTGCCGAACGCATCAAGGCTCTCGAGGATCTTGTTGCCGAGCAGGGCAGCCGTATCGATACCCTCAGCAGGCTCCATGAGAGCCTTTGACGCCAAATCATGGAACCCCATCCCTCATTTCCCCTTCCCACCACTCCGGCAATTGCAACATCTTTGTTGCTTGATCAATCCGTCGCTGGAACAACGTCACCCTCCCAATCCGCACTCCCTCCTCTCATCGATATTTCAATTGCAGTGGAGCCCACACCCTCGAAAATTGAGGATCACTCTGCCATCAAGGGTCTTTCATTTGAGCCGAGCCAAGTTCAACCAGCCCTGGACCCATCACCTACTCCCTCAACTGCCAGAGCAATTTTGGTGCCAGATGATCCACGCAACCTTGTCCTGGAATACAATTCTGGTGATGAGATGGATGTTGAGGTGAAGGTTGAAGTTGAAGGTGGTGATGAGGGTCATCTGGTCAAGGTTGAAGGTGAAGGTGATGATGAGGGTCATCTGGGCAAGGTTGAAATGTCTACATAATTTGGTAGTTAGATTTCTTTAAATGTTCTTGAAATGCATTGTACCTCTGCTATACCCAAAGAATGAAATTGAGTTCCGGGTAACTAATACTGACGTCCGGGTAACTAATACTGACGTCCAGGTAACTCATGCCGACGTCCGGGTAACTGATATTGACATCCGGGTAACATCCATCGACGTCCGGGTAACTGATATCAACATCCGGGTAACATCCATCAATGTCCAGGCAACTGATATCGAGTTCCGGGCATTGAGCACCAAGTTCCGGGTAGCTTAAATTGGACAAATGACTGAGTACCGAGTTCCAGGCACCAAGTTCCGGGCATCGAGCACTGAAACACGAAACTAAAATCCAACATTGTGTGAAGTACCAAGTTCCGAGTTCCGGGCATCGAGTGCCAAGTACCGAGTTCTGAGGTCCGGGCATCAAGCTCCGAGTTCTGGGCACCGAGTTGTATTTCGGTGCTTGATGCCCGGAACTCGGTGCCTGGAAATCGGAACTCGATGCCTGGAACTCGGTAATTGATGCCTGGAACTCAGTACTCAGTCATTTGTCCAATTTAAGACATCCCCGGAACTCAATATCAGTTACCCGGATGTCGATATCAGTCACCCGGACATCGATGGATGTTACCCAGACATTGGTGTCAGTTACCCGGACATCAGGATTAGTTACCCGGAACTTGGTACTCGGTATTAGGTACTTGGTGATTTGTCTAATTTACAAAATGTTGTATTCAGGCTTTTGTGTTTCTCGTTTCGGTGGTTGATGATAGGTGTATGCACTCATACAGTGGGTATGTACTGGTGCCTACATCAGCACACTGATTAGTATGTTATCCAACTATCTCAGCCCACTGATGTTTATAACACTCATTCTTCTGGGCCCACCCGTCTATATGATATCAACCATCTCGGCCCACCTGTCTATATAATATACTACTACCTCGGCCCATACATCTATATAATATACTACCACCTTGGCCCATACATCTATATGATACGTATCTGGGCCCACCCATATATGTGATATCCAACTACCTCGGCCCACCCATCTATATAATATCTAATAAATCGCTCTCTTGGCCCACCCGTTTATATGATAACAATTACCTCGGCCCACCCATCTACATGATATACCCCTAAGTCGGCCCACCCGTCTACACAATATACTACTACCTCGGCCCACCTGTCTATGTAATATACCCTATGCCGGCCCACCCGTCTATATAATATACTACTACCTCGGCCCACCCATCTATATCATATATAATAAACTGCTCCTCCGGCCCACCCATCTATATAATATACTACTACCTTGGCCCACCAGTCTATGTAATATACCCTATGTCGGCCCACCCGTCTATATCATATATAATAAACTGCTCCTCCGGCCCACCCGTCTATATAATATACATCTCTCTTCAGCCCACCTGTCTATAATATACATGTCCATCCTATTCTACATATTACCTAGATGGGCCCACCTGTATTCATCGGTAATAATATCCCTCCCAGCCCATCCGTTAACATTGAGGATATCTTCATCATTGGCCCATGGTCTGCTGGCCCGTGTTATACGGGATATTATGCACATCAGTTGCCTCATATAATACAGAGTTTGTCACTGAAGGGGCTCAGGAGTCAGGATGTAATCCTGCATTTGTGCAATGTACATTGCATGCATATGCCGCTCAACACTGGATAGAAGGTGATTTAGTGAGAGTTAGAGCGGGGGAAATGGTTGGATGCACAGCTAAGATTGACTGTGTTGACATGAGCACCTATTCAGCATCAGTGCACATGCAGGAATCAGCACATATAGAGAATCTCTCTGTTAAACCACTAATGTTCTCCCTCTCTGATCTGGAGAGGAAATTCTGCGTGGGGGACAATGTTTGTGTGCTCGATAACAGTATAGTAGCACCGCAACTCAAGGGGACAACTGGAATGGTTGTCCGAGTTGACGACGACACTGTTGTTGTACTCGATCAGTCTTCCGAATCAGAAGTAAGTTGCCCATCAACTTTTACATCATCGCTAACACTTCGTCAAGTTCACCGTTGGATTCGATTCTTTGGCAACATCCATTGGGGACATAAGCAAACAGGGTCCCACAAACGCTTCAATCTGCAATGACACTCCAATGAAAGGCGACCGGGTCGTTGTAACCGAGGGAATTTATGTCTGTGAATTCGGGGAAGTCAATGAGGTCGATGGCATGACATGGACGGTTGCATTCTTCTCGGATTCGCGACAGACGACCATAACAGTGCTGATGGGGGCGATGGCCTTCACTCCCAATCCCACTGCCCTTCAATATACTCACAAGCGTGGATACCATGTTGTAGCTGGCGATATCGTTCAAGTGGTCAGAGGTGACCGACTCTATGCGTCAGGTACGGTACTGTGGATTGATTTGGGTAATAAAATGTTGACATTCAAAGACACTCTCCACACTGAGGTTAGTTTCTGTCGATCTCATTCAAGCAGGTTTAATGTGATGATTGTAGTTCACCACTTCCATCACATATGTTGTGAGAATTGGTGGGCGTGAGGATCATGAGCCGATGCAGCACCTTGTCGGTAAGGAAGTCTTTATAATACAGGGTGCCATGAAATCCTACTGAGGCACCTTGCAATCACTCTCCCGGGACACATGCAAGGTTGTGTTTCAAGGTCGGAGAGAAGAATTCCTGCGAACTCACATCGTCAGGTCAGAAATTATTTTAGTTTGTCTGTTCGACACTCATGCACATGATGCAGCCGGAAGGGAGTTCTCCTCAATGGTTTTCGCTTGCCTCAGAATCAGCAACAGGAATTCAACAAATTAGTTCAATCTTCGTTCATCCGGTCCCCACATATCACTCCCCCAACAACTCCTTGTCACTCGCCTTCTCCTGACAAGTCACATCCTGATCAGCCCGCTCCCGCCATACTGGGATCACTTTGGGATGCCCCCATTGACTCACTAGAGATCAATCGGTGTAAAGAGGGTGCTAGAACTGGTGAGATTCTTCGTTAATTTCCAACTTTTCACCTTGTCTCACCCCCCATAGCCCCCCGTTGAGACCCTTGGGTATTCAACGAGGATGACAAGGAAGAACACCAATTGCATCCTCCCGATGCGACCTCTTGCTCTCCTGGTATGGCCTTATTTATCTCATATTTGGTCTGCTCCCACTCACATTGCTCACAGCAGACAGTCTCACTGCTGCAATCGTCCACAATCCCCTCATCACTGCCTTGTACTGTAATTGGCACATGAAATTCTGCATCGTCAAAGCATCATCTTCTCATTGGATATCCTACCTTAATCGGCTTGTTGACACAGTTGCCCCAGACCCGTTCGTGCTCGATGAAGGGCTGGTCAAAGATGGTGAAATCGCCATCAAGTATTCCTCCAGAATGAAGAACAAGGGGTTGAAGGTGGGTACAATCTGTCTCAAAGATATTGCCCCAGAACCACCCTCGGGACCAAATAAGAAGTTCACTTTGATACGAGGTGACTTCATGGGGAGCGTTCATACAACGGGGAAGACCTCAAAGGACAAGTCAAAGATAACTACCGTGGAAGGGAAGGTTTCGATCACGCTGATGCATGCCTAATTGTCAGCAGAACCTCATAGACATCTTAGCTGTTAGATAGTTAGCTAACTTTACATTAATTTCTTATACAATGAAGCGATTCAAACACAAGTCATAATCCCGATTGTCTCCCTTAGGTAGACCAATAGAAGGAAGACAGTCATTCCTTCTGCACTAGATACAGTTTGCTACATGTTTCCACGTGAGTGCACCTATGAGCAGTCCACCTATTGAATTGAGCGGTCCTCTTAGAGGGGTACTCAGAGGGCCACTAGTACATATCTTTGACATATCCACAATTTGTAAACAAATTTGTCACATGGCAAATGATGATGTTTTTTAAGATTTGTTTTCGGACTTATTACTGAGGCAGACCTGAAGTCTGATATGTGATTTGATCTTACATCTTGCCTCGGAAATGTCACGTGAAATATGCACGAACAATTGCAAAGTTGGAGACGTCTTCATATCTGTAACTAAAGTTTGAAAATTAACTTAATCTGTAACATATGCAGATTATGGAACGAATTCACCCTCTTTTTGGCAAACTTACTCTGAATTTGATTGATAGAATTTGATCCTCAATCTTATTTGTAATTTTATTATAAAATTGCCCATTAACTGTACAGCATTCAAATGGTTTGATATATTCAAAATTGTACTTCGGATATGTATCACATATGCTCATAGAACTTTTCTGGCTGTGTCTCAGGTGAGATACGATAACCTGGCTACAGCATTTGCGACAAATATAGATTTCAGGGGTGTATAGCCTCGTGTCCTGGGCGTCTAACGAGATATGAGACTGAAGCAGCACAAAAACGGCATGTACACGCACCTCTGCAGCTTAGAACGAGGCGCCCACAAGCCCTACAGCAAGTCCACATTGACTGTACACCATCCACGTCCAGCAGAATGGCAGAAGCAGCGCAGACCATCATTCGAATCACTACACCCAGTCGAAAATTTGAAGGCCATGAAAGTACCGTCAATGCAGTTGCAGTTTTCCCCGATAGACGCCGTATGGTGACGGGGTCGTACGACAAGACGCTTCGTCTGTGGGACTTAGAAAACGGCATTATGTTGAAGAAAATAGAGGGGCATCACAACGAAGTGAAAACAGTTGCGGTATCAAGAGACGGGCAGTTGATAGCAAGCGGTGATTGGGGTGGAGAAGTCATCGCCTGGAACGGAGATGGTGAATCTCTGACACAACCCATCAAAGTCCACTCCGAATGGGTCATGTCGCTTGACTTTTCTCCAGATGGCGCGGTGCTCGCGAGTGGTTCACGTGATAGAACAACGGAGCTCTGGAGCACAAAAACATGGCAGGTTCAAGAAAATCCAATCAATTGTAGTGCAGCGGTCAACTGCGTTCGGTATTCCCCGTCTGGTCAACATCTTGCCATCGCGACAGACAAGAATATCCAAATATGGAATCCAGGCACCAGGGAATGCATCGCAAAATTCAGCGGTCACAATGCATTCAACGGATCATGGAATTTGTCACTCGTGTGGACGCACAATGGCTCACGGCTTCTCTCAGCTGGAAGCAATATGGATCCCACCATACGGGAGTGGGATGCATCAACCTGGAAGCAGGTCGGTGAGGCATGGAAGGGCCATGGTAACGTTGTTCGCGCCATTGCCATAAACCCTACTGGCACCCTTGTCGCATCCGCATCTGACGACGGCCATATCCGCCTGTGGCGGCTCTCGGATCGACGAACCATCGCCATATTCAAGTACTCATACGAGGTGTGCGGTGTTACTTTCTCCACGGATGGCAAGCACATCCTAAGCGGAGGTAGAGATATGAACGTGTCAGAGTGGGAGGTACCTGATGACGCTTTGCTGGAGGTCACTCCCGAGGAACAGGCGTCAGAGGTGAATTCCCATTCATTTCCTGTTCCTTCGTCATCTCACTCCGTCCAAGGACGCATTGCCGGAGGACGCTTCAAAGCAACAGGTGGCAGATGATGTGAGTTCTCGTTGATTGCCTAATTGTTTGACACATTACTCAATTTTTATACCAAGGCTCAAAAGTTTTATTGCGAGGCATGCTTTTACTCTTCACTCTTATAAATAACGAAATGTGACCACGCACGATGCAGATCCTCGCCATAAACACAATAGCCCGCAATGCATGCATAACTGGGGACTTGTCTTTCGCTGACAGGCTACTAACACAAGATATCAATGCTGATGGCACCAACTACAACTCTTATGCGAATCGCTCGTTTGTCATGGCGAGAAAATCTGACTGGGAACACGCACTTCAAGACGCACTTCAGGTGAGATATACTGTCCCATCATGACTCCCTTAACATTGGCCAACCTTGATAATATACAGTCTGTCAGCATTCAGCCTTCCTTGATGGGCTGCGTCTCCAAGGGCATCGCCTTCTGCGGAAAAAAGCAGT